GGCCGGGGTGCTTTTTTCGGCCGGGGTGCCCAGCCCCGTGCTCCAGGCACCTCCTTGGCCACATCCATTGCGGTTCCTCCCGCTCGGCCCCGTCCTTTGAGATTTAGACACAGCTCAAAGGTGATCTCCGTGCGCTTGACCTGCAGCGCAGTGATGCTGGGCCCTCAGCCAGCTGCGAGCAGGGGCGGGGGGTCATGTCTGATGCCCAGCACAGCCTGGAGCCGTCCTGGAGGAGAGGCCGTTCCCTTCCCTCCGGCATGCTCGGAGTCCCCAGCCACTCTGGGACAGGGGCTTAGGAGCCCAGGCAGGGCTACGTGGGGTGTTTGGGCACAGCAAAAGGCCTGAGGCGGGGCAAGATGGGCCGGATCCATGCATTACGCAGGTCTCCGTGCCCCCTCCTCCTCCTGCAGATCCACTTCTGGGAGGCCCAGCGCCGGAACGAGAGCGCACGGGTGAAGACGCTTTTCCTGCCCGAGAACGGGGTGAAGCTGAAGAACCTGACGGGGTACACCTCGTACTGGGTCAGCGTTGCTGCCTTCAACGCTGCAGGAGACGGACCCCGCAGCAGCCCCGTCAAGGGGCGGACGCAGCAGGCAGGTGGGGCCCATGGCGCGGCTCCCCCCAGCCCTTCGCTCAGCACGGTTGCATCCGCAGCCTCCTGCCCCTGGGCTCCGTGGGGAGGTGTCTCCATGGGTCCAGCTCCAGTGATGTCTGGCTGATGCCCCTTCATCCCACCTGCACCCCAGCTCCTGCTCTTGCAATCCCGAGCAGAGACCAGCCCTGAGCTCACCCCAGGGGGTTTGTGAGTTGGGAGCACGTGGAGATGAAGGTCTTGGCTGAGTCTTGAGAAGGATGAAGGTGTCAGGAGGAGAGTCAAAGAGAAGGAGACTCATCCCCCTAGCCGTGTGCAGTGGCCTGGCAGGGTCTTTGCTGCAGCGGGGATGGGGGCACAGGGAGGGTGGCACCAGGGTGTTGTGAGATGGTGACGATGAGTGCCCCAGCCCCGAGAGGGTGGAGGCAGGGAGAGGGGCTGGCTTGGTGCTGGGGTTGTCCCCTGGGAGCACTGAGCTGGCCCTGGCCACCCTGCTCCCTCGCAGCCCCCAGCGCCCCCGGCTCCATCCGGTTCAGCGAGCTGACCACCACATCGGTGAACGTGTCCTGGGAGCCACCACCGCTGCCCAATGGCATCCTCGAGGGCTACAGGCTGGTCTACGAGCCCTGCATGCCTGTGGACGGTGAGGGCACGGCAGGGGCACCAGGGGGAGGCTGGGAGCACTGGGGGGAGCTGGGAGGGCTCCAGGGAAGACCTGGCTCAGCCTCCATCCCCACAGGCGTCAGTAAGATCGTGACAGTGGACGTGAAGGGGAACAGCCCGTTGTGGATGAAGGTGAAGGACCTGGCCGAGGGCATGACGTACCGGTTCCGGATACGGGCCAAAACCTTCGCTTATGGGCCCGACGTTGAGGCCAACATCACCACGGGGCCTGGGGAAGGTAGGGGGGGGGGATGTGCGAGATGCCGTGCCGGGGCGAGGGAGGAGATGCAGTGGGGACAGTTCCCCCAGTGCACCGGGGCTGGCATGGCCGCATGCCAGTTTGTACCCCCGTGCCTCCAGCTCTGCTCTGGGTCCCCAGGTGCCCCCGGTCCCCCTGGTGAGCCCTTCATCTCCCGCTACGGCTCAGCGATCACCATCCACTGGGCGAGTGGGGACCCCGGCCAAGGGCCCATCACCAGATACGTCATCGAAGCCCGTCCTTCAGGTACTGCAGCTCCTGTCTGCTTTCCATCCCCACCTTGTTACTGGTGGTGCCTTGGGTTCAGGAGAAAGAGAACTGAGGCAGGGAGTGCTGACCTCTCCCAGGCCACCGAACAGGCTGGGTTGGGGATTAGGACCCAGGTGTCTGGAGTGTCAGCCATGTGCCGGTCCACAAGGACCGCGCTGCCAAGCAGGTGCTGACCGGGGCTGATGGAAAGGGGCTAGCGAGCCGTGGAGTAGCACCCGTCGATGCTGCTGCTTTCATGGGTATGGAGGTCCTGATGCTCCCCCAGCCAGGCAAGGAGGTTTGAGGGGTACCAGGGCTATCCCAAAATGGGAGAGTCCTGCTCCGGGGCAGGCAGGGCTGGTAGCTGGGACTTCCCATCCCCACAGCAGGGAGCCAGCAGGCACGGCCACACTCTCTCCTGCAGCCTCAAGTTAATGTTCTCCCCGCTGCAGAGACCGCAGTTCAGATGACCCATTTGATTGCTAATGGTGGTCGGTACTGCTCCCTGTGTGGTGGGGCAGCAACCGGGAGGGAAACCCCTCGCTCCTGTGAGCCCAAGGGGCTGCGGGGGGTGCTCTGGGGCTGTGGTGGCAGCAGGTCCCCAGGGAGCTGCCTTGCCCTTGGCTGGGGCAGGCAATCAATCAGCCGTGTGCATCACTACGGCTTTTTAATGATGCTGCAGTGAGCAAGCGCAGTGTCTGCCGGGGCTGGGAGGGCCGGGCAGATAGCAGAGGGCACATGCTCCTGGATGGAGGGAGATCAGTCTCTTGCCCTGAGGAGTGCTGCAGAGCCGGTCCCCCGCTCCCAGGCCCCTTCTCTCTTCCAGACGAGGGGCTCTGGGATATCCTCATCAAAGACATCCCCAAGGAGGTCACCTCCTACACCTTCAGCATGGACATCCTCAAGCAGGGCGTCAGCTACGACTTCCGCGTCATTGCTGTGAACGACTACGGCTACGGGACCCCCAGCACGCCGTCCCCCTCCGTGTCAGGTAGCCAGCGGGGGCAGCATGCGGGTGTCCCTGGGGCAATGCTGTCACCCCTGTGCCAGAGGGAATGTCCCAGCGTTGCTCTGTTCCCATGGCCAATGCTGAAACCCATCTCTCTGACCCTGCCTGGCTCCTACAGAGCCCCAAATCCCACTGCCAGCAGTGTCTGCCAGCCCTCGCCTTGCAAAGCCTCCTGCTATCCCCCTTTAACCTGCTCCCTCACATGGATTCAGGTCTCACAAAGTTCCCCAAGGCGACCTCATGCCCTGCAACAGGGTCTTCCCCATCCATACTGGTTTGCCTCCCCATGCCCGTCCCCCTCTGATCCTCCCTGCTGTGCCCCAGCCCAGAAAGCCAACCCGTTCTACGAGGAGTGGTGGTTCCTCGTGGTCATCGCCCTGGTGGGGCTCATCTTCATCCTCCTGCTCGTCTTCGTGCTCATCATCCGTGGGCAGAGCAAGAAGTACGCCAAGAAGTCAGACTCAGGTGAGTGCCGGGGATCTGGTGTGTGGTGACGGGACCCTCTGCGGTGCCAGCTGGGGGGGTGCAGAGCCCTCACCCCACAGGAGCCTCTGGGGGCCTCCCTGCCTGCCTTTGGGGTCTGAGCGGGGCGGTGGGAGCCTGCCTCCCTACCTGCCTTAGGGCACGGCTCCTCCAGAGACCTGGTGACATCCAATAAAGATGCTGTGGGCTTCCCGGAGAGTGCTGGGAGCTAAAGATTAAATAAGCGACTTGTCCCGCTGTCAGCTGCGGAGGCAGGGCAGCCCGGGGGCTCGGCAGAGGTCACCGGGATTAGTCAAACACAGCTCTGTTTTCTTAGCTGTATCAAGGGCTCAAATTGTGGGGAAAATCCAGACCTCCTGGTTAAGCAAACAGAGCCACTGAGCCAGGAGCCAGAGGCGATGAGGCAGGTCAGGGTGTGAGCCAAAGCGGGCAGGCTTGGCATGTCCGCTGCCCCGGGACTGGCACCTCGTGGCCGTCCCCAGGCTGCTGTCTCTCTAACGCCGGAGCCGGCACACCCCTTCCCGGGCTGTTCCCCAGTCCCCTTGCACACGGGGTCCAGGCCCCCACCCATGCTGTGCTGCCCAGGGAGGGTCTGTGGGAGGCTGAGCATCCCGTCCCACAGGGAACGGCTCCAAGGCAACCGCCCTGAGCCATGGCGAGATGGTGAGCCTGGACGAGGGCAGCTTCCCCGCCCTGGAGCTCAACAACCGGCGCCTCTCCGTCAAGAACTCCTTCTGCCGGAAGAATGGCATCTACACCCGGTAGGGACCCCCAGCCGCAGCCCCCTCCCCAGGCAGAGGGGAGTTTTTCAGATGTCGTGCGTGTCCCTCCATCGTCCACTCGCCATGGGATGGGCACGGGGCTGGGGAGGGCTGGCACCCCAGGGGGGTGACCCTGTTCTGCCCAGTGTCCCCCCTGCCATGAGCTGCAGCTGCTGCACCAGCCCTGATGTGCCGAGATGCTGAACAGCCTGAAAAGCTGGGAATCCCTGAGAGCCCACCGACCACGGGCAGGGTCCTTGCGGGTGGCTCGGCACAGCTTGGGGGTGGTCCCTGCGCCTGCCCCAGGGCTCAGCTGGGCTCATCCCCGCGTGGCACAGCCCCGACAGGGGACCTCCACTGAGCACCTGCCTCTCCCCGAGGTCCCCACCGCGGCCCAGCCCCGGTAGCCTCCACTACTCGGACGAGGATGTGACCAAGTACAACGACCTGATCCCCGCCGAGAGCAGCAGCCTGACAGAGAAGCCCTCCGAGGTCTCCGACTCTCAGGTGACTGCCCGGGGCTGCACGCAGGGACAGGGACCTGGGACAGGGGGATGCAGGGGTAGGATGCCCGCTATGATGCAGGTCCTGGTGCACATTTGGGAAAAGCAATGCCGGTCCCGCTTCCCTGCCCCATCCCGCTTTTAGGCAGTGGTGTCCCCCATGGCTTTGCGGCACGGAGCCAGTGCGAAGCTGGCACAGCCCCCGGCCCGTGTGCTGGGGATGTGGCACTGCGGGGGGGCCCCCCAAGGGCTGCCGGGGACAGGGGACGGGAGGGCAGTGGGGTTGGGGACTGTCCCGCTGCCCGGTCGCTGGTGGCAACAGCCGCGGCTCTGCCAACCCTGCAAAATGGCACCTTTGTCTCCTCCCGGAGAAACGGGCAGCTGTGGCCGGGCAGGAGCGCGGCTGCGGGCAGCTCCCTGGGCAGGCAGCCTCCAGGGAGGCCACGGGAGCATTGCCCCCGTGACGGATGCTGGGTGGCATCTGAAAAGATGAGGCTGAAGCCCAGGGGAAGGTCCCGGGGGTCTGCATGGCCGTCCTCGAGCAGGAGAGGGACTGGCCCCGGGGGGGCCCCCCTGTTGCTGCCTGCACCGGCTGTTTCTTTTGCCTTCGCACGGCAGATGCCGTCTCCGCTCCCTCTTGCCTGAAGAGAGAGCAGCTTCCCCACCTCCATGGGCCCTTTGTGCACGGCGAGGAGAAGCTGAATCCAATTACCGCCAGCGGGAGGCAGGGCCGCCAGCACCCGCCTCCCAAAAACACCCTCCCCGCCAACCCCGGGGGCATCACAGCCTCGGGGACCCCCCCAAGGGGCCCCAGGACCCTGCAACCCTTTTGTATAAGGTTTTATTTTGCTTTAGCAAGAGGCAGAAACACCCCAGCAGTGCTGCAGCCGTCCCAGCCCCTAAAGTCTTTTGGGATGTGCTTGCCAGCGTACCCAAAAGAGCACTGGGAAAGCTCACCCTATTTTGGGGGCTGGGGGGTGATGCCCCCCACCCCACCCCATGCTCACCTCCCCCATCCTGTTCTTTAGGGCAGCGACAGCGAGTACGAGGTGGACCCCGGCCACCAGAAAGCCCACTCCTTCGTCAACCACTACATCAGCGACCCCACCTACTACAACTCATGGCGGCGTAAGCAGAAGGGCATCTCGCGGGCGCAGGCGTACAGCTACACCGAGAGCGACTCGGGGGAGCCCGACCACACGCCCCTCTCCAACAGCACCTCCACGCAGCAGGGCAGCCTCTTCCGCCCCAAAGCCAGCAGGACTCCCACACCCCAGACCCCCGGCAACCCCCCCAGTCAGCCTGGTACCCTCTACCGCCCGCCCAGCAGCCTGGCCCCTGGCTCCAGAGCCCCCATCGCTGGGTTTTCTTCTTTCGTTTGATATTTAAACAGAAGCAAAAACAAACAGGAGAAAAAAATTATAAAAAAAAAAAAAAGGAAAAAAAAGAAAAGCCCCAAGAAATTAAGAAAAAAGCGGCGAGGGGGAGAAGAGGAGGAGGAAGCAGAGAGGCCGAAGGGCCCCGAGGCCCCGGGTATGCCAGCGGTGCCATGGTGGGCAGTGGCCTCAGGCTCGGTGACGCAGCGGGTGTTTCGCCTTCTCGGCAGGGCCGGAGCAGAACGCCGAGCGCCTTCCCTGGGGCTGGGGAGCAAAACCCAGCTCCTCTTTTCGGCCAAAGCTTTCTGCGTTACGGACTCCTCGGCCGAGGTGGGGTGGGAGGGCTCGGAGTGCCAGCAGCATTGCACTGGACTTCACCCTTGGCACCTGCTGCAGCTGCCCCCGGACTACTGCTGCCCTCGCTGGGGTTCCATGGGTGCTGCTGGGCTGGGTGCAGGGGCTCTCGCCGTGCCAAACCCCGGCCCCTCCACCAGCCTCTGCTTGTGGCTCCCCTGGGACACGGGGACAAGCAGTGACAGAGAGACCGCTGACTGTGGCGGAAGAGGGGTTCTGCTGATTTAAACCCTCTGGACGTGAAACCCCAACCTGGACCCTCCAGGGCGAAGGGGGCAGCCACTGTGCCAGGAACCCAGGGGGCAATTAATTCCTTCCCCCCGTTTGCCCCCCCAGGAGAACCCAGGACTTAAACCCCAGGAGAGCCCCTCTGGGGTGCAAATGGTGCTGATATCCCCCCTGATTTTGCACCCCAGGGCCCTGCAGGGGCTCTGGCGAGGGCTCAGACAGGGTGATGCGGCGACCATAGCCACCCCTCTGCATTTCTGGTGGTTTGGGTTTGTTTTTTTTTTTAAAATGAGGTTTTGTGCTGAGGTCTGGGAGCACGAGGGGCGCGTGGGGGCAGAGGTGCCCAGGGGGGCTCCGAGGCCATTTTGGTGGTCTCTGCATAGCAAAACCCCCGCAGTGCTTACTGGTGAGCCAGGCACCAGCCCGGCGGGGCCGCAGCGCCTGGGCTGAGCCGAGGGAGATGCCAATAAACAGCCTGAGGATCAGCCCGTCTTGCCTCTCTGTCACCCTGCTGCGGCAGAGAAGGGGCTGGCAGGATGCGTCCGTCTGTCCTGCTCCCCCGGCCGGGCTTGTGTTGGCCCTACAGGACCGGGGAAGGAGCCGGGCAGAGGGTGCCAGGGTCTGCAGTGCCAGGATCGGGCCCAGAACAGCGTGGGGAGCTGTGATGGCCGTATCCCTGTCTGTTTCCATCCCGGAGCAGTGGGGTCTGTGGTTGGAAGGAAAGGGGACCCAGTGGTGGGATAGGGGAGGAGGGAGGTGACCCCACTGCACCGGGCGCTTTTGGCATCGCCAGCACTGGGGATTTTTCCTGGGGCAGTTTGCAGCCACCCTCGCTGCCTGCTCTGCCCTTCAGACCTGGCAGGAAAATCCAGGTGATGCACTTGGGTTTCATCACCCGTCACCCCTCTGGCAGCAAACAACGTGGGTCTGGAGCCGAGGGCTGGGGAAGGGCTCAGCCTGCCGGCAGTGCCAGCAAAGCACCAGCACCCGCTTCCTTGGCCGGGGGCTGTTCTCTCACTGGGGGCTACCAGAACTGGGAGCTGTGGGGTCTGCACAGCCCCTTGCTGCAGGACCCCGCTGCTGGCAGGGCAGGGGCGTGGAGCCCCTTGCAGGCACGTGCCCGGACCCTCCCCCCGGCCTGAGCGAGGGTCTGGGGCTGCCAGAGGGAGCGTTTTGCAGGCACTGCATTTGGGGACTGCTTGGAGCTGGGGGTGCATGACCCAGTGCTGCAGCCCCCCTTCACCCATCCCCTGGGTTGGGAGAAACCGTGGACACTGCCGTGGCATCACTCCCGAGCTCCAGCCACCGGCAGAAGCACGGTCCCCACCGTGGCACATCGTGGTGGCCCTGGAGCCGCTGGGGAGCAGAGGGCATTTCTGGCAGGTGACTCATCTGACCTACTTCAGAGCTGGCGCCAAAGGGAGAATGCACCCAGGGGTGCCCGTCCCGTCCCTGGGCAGCGAAGGGAGCCCTGATGCCTCGCTCGGGTGGAGACATTTGCATGGGGGCAGGGGGTGTGTGTCTGCATTTGGCCGGACAAATCCTGCCCCTCGTTTGCAGCCTGGCTCCATCCCCAGGTGTCCCAGCTTGTGCAAGAGAGACCTTCCTCCCACCGGGGCTGGGACGCCGAGCCACCAGAGACACAGGGCAGAGCAGGTCTGGGGAGTCGAGCAACACAGGCGAGTTCCCCGTGCGAGGGACACTCCTCGTGCAAGGGACGCTCCCCTTGCGAGGGATGCTCTCCTCCCACGCAGGGCATGTGCCAGTCCCTCTGAGCAGCAATGACCCAGTGAGCACCGATGCCATCCCTGGAGACATCCCCCATTTTAGGGACAGCGGGATGCAGGTCCTGGGAGGTGCCTGCGTGGGGTCTGCATGTGCTCCCCGGCATGGTGGCGTGCCACAGCCCCGGCAGCTGGGGCAGAGCAGAGCCCAGGCCCCGCTTGCCCACCCTGACCCAGCTCGTCCCTGGCCATGAGGAGGAGAAGCTGGAGGGTGCAGCAACATCTGCAGCAGGTTTAGAGCTGGTGCCGTGCCGTGAGGTGAAGCTGCTGGTGCGGCTGTGGCCGGACCACCCGGGGCCCTGTGGCAGCGGTGGCGGTGCAGCCAAGGCGAGCCCTTTCTGCTTGTGGTTTCCCACAGCTGAAGGATGCAGCACCCGAGGAAGTGGTGGATCCCACATCCCACCACAGCAACGGGTTCGCCCACTGCTCCCTGGGGAACCTCCTCAGGACAGTCTGGGAGCTGCGCAGGGCACAAAGCCCGGTATGGGCACAGCAGAGATGGGCTGAGTGCCAGTGGCACTAGCGGGAGCTCTCGCTCACCTGTGCTGCCTCAGTTTCCCCATGACACAGATGCAACCAGACCGGCTGGGCTCGCAGGGGAAGACACCGTGCTCCCTGCCAAGCACAGCCACCTCTCTACCGCCTTGGCTTTCACCATGCTGCTGCCAGAACCGGCTCTTTCCAAAAGTCCCTCCCGCCACCCCGGCCCCTCCAGGCAGGTCTGGGCTGCCCGTGCCCAGCCCCACTGCTGCCTGAGCTGCCGGCTCTCCAGGCTGCTCTGTGCAGCAGACGGGCAGGGCGAGCTGTCGGTAGCAATCAGTCCCCAGGGACCGAATTGGCCTTGACATACCTCCCGACTGCTGCTCGGCGGTGGCCTGCAGTTCTCCCAAGGGCAGAGCACCACTTGCTTATCAGGGCTGGGCGAGCCAAAGGGGAGCAGAGGGGGGAAGCTGCCCCCCCAGACCTCGCTGTGCGGACGGGACGGCACAGTACCCGCTTGCTGCTCCAAATGCGATGGGGAGATGTTTGTGCCAGAAATGGGGGTTATGACCTGTAAAGCTGGGCTGAATTCCATGATTTATTTTTATTTATTTATTTTAGCTGAAGCAGTGTTGGTGTTGGAGGAGTCAGGTAGTAACAGTTTATTTTCCAGGTTGAGATTAGATCAAGCAAGGAGTAGAGCAAAGAGAAGTGCTCGGTGTGCGGTGGAGGAGAAGCAGCCCTGCAGCCTAGGCTCTCCCTTTCCTCCAGATTTTTCCTATTCCCTGCCAGCTCCTGGGTCAAAGCCGGGTGTCCCCACCTTTCCCTTGCCTTGGGCTGCGGGGACAGGGACAGCCCCTCCTGCCATGCCAGGGGCTAGACAGGACTCGGCACATCCTCAGAGCCCCACGTGCCCTGGGCCCTGCTGCCTCCTGCGCCATGGCAGGCTGTGAAGCTCGCGGCACAGGCAGAGCCGCTGGCGGTGGGGACGGCAGCAGAGCCCTCCCGGGGCGGCGGGGAACGGAGAGCGATGGAGAGGACAGACCCAGGCCTGTGCAACCTGTCCTGCAGGCGTGGGTGCCTGGCGCACACCGTGGCCAAAGGGGTCCCGCGCCGAAGCTGTGCCAGGGCAGGGGGTTTCCATGGGCGCTGCCGGCCATGGTGGGTCCCCTCAGCAGCCACGTGCCAGGTGGTATCCCCCAAGGGTAAGCCGGGGTGGCTGCACCGCAGCTGGGTGACGGGTTTCTGGGCAGGTGGCGGGTTGTGTGAGCCTGTTCCCCGGCACTGCTGGCCAGGGAAGCGTGCAGGCTGGGGAAGGCAGGCGGCTGCAGAGAGAGCCTGCCCGCGGCAGGCTCTGACCTGCGCACAGCTTGTCCTGGCGCTCACCCATGCACCCGTGGGTGCTGAGGTGCCAGCGGTGAGCGGGCGGCACGGTCCTGCCAGGGTGCACTGCTTAGCTGGATAGCCGCTCACCCCTGGGCAAATGGCACAGGGAAGGGGTGAAACCCCACGTCTGTGGGTGCAGGGTGGTGTCCGTGGGGTTGGCAGGGCTGTTGGGGAGGTTTCTAGCAGCAGCCAGCTCTGGGCCCTGGGGCTGGAGGGATCTGGGGGGCTGTGGGGGCAATGCCCCGTTCCCGGCACCCTGGGGTGTCCAAATGGCGATCCCCACGCCCTGCTGCAGCACTGGGGCTCTGGGAAAGCACCCGCCTCGCTCGGCAGCATCTCCTGCGCGGCCAAGGCAGTGTCGGCAGACAAAGCTGGCAAGCGCTGGCAGCAGGAGGAGGGGACGGGGCTGCTGGGAAACTCGGGCGCTTCTCCCTGCCCTGCTTTTCAAAGTGCTTTTCAATCCTGTTCTTTTTTCTTCTCCGCTTTCAAAAGCTGCTGAGAAGCAGTAAAAGGAACCAGCGACGGGTTCAGGAAGGGTCAGAGTGATGCAGCCACCCACTCCGCGCTTCCGAGCCTCCCAGCACCCTGAGTTCGCTGCCATCTCCCCAGGGCCGGATCCAGCCCCGGGGCTCTGCGTGGCCCGAGCTGCTGTGGAGGAGAGGGGAGGGGGCCCGTCTCTCCCAGGCAGTTTTTCAAGTTGAGTGGGTGCCTGCTCTTCCCAGCCAGAGTTAGGCCGGCCCACGGGAGCCTTCCCCGGCGGCTTCCACCAGCCAGCTGATTTTAATCCCTCCTGACTGCGCTGTCTCAGCCAGCGTCGTGCTCCTGTGACAACATCAGCTGAGGC